CATAGAAGTCACAATTTTTCATAAAAGTAAAAAAATTTCATAAAAGTCACAACTCTTCATAAAAGTCGCAACTTTTCATAAAAGTCCCAACTTTTCATAAAAGTTGCAACTTTTCATAAAAGTCACAACTCTTCATAAAAATCACAACTCTTCATAAAAATCACAACTCTTCATTTTCCATTCACACCTTCTAAAACCCAACATTTATGAATAGTGAATAATTATTACATGATTATTTATGTTCTTTTGGATATTTTAAATAAAGACACAAAAAAGATTTGGATGCTCAATCAATACTGGTTCCCTATTTACTACTTGCTCTATCATTAATTACTTGTCCACTTTTGAATTGACACACTTATTAAGAAATCAATTAATGATATAGTGAGTTTACCATTTTACCCCTATTAATTATGAAGTGGATGAAAAGTTTTGCATTTTTCAAAGTAATTAGTCATTTAATTGAGGATATTGTCTTTTCTTGATTTGTCAAAATGGACAAGTAATTAGGGATAACTATAAAAAGAAAAAGTGAACAAATAATTAGAGACAGAGGGAGTAGTATTTCTATATGTTATCTTTTTTCCTTCTATTAATAGTTGGACGTACAAAGATTCTCAGACATATTTTGTTGGTTTGCTTTATAGTGTGGAAAGTAACTTTTATTTGATTGCTTTAATTTTCGAATCCTTAATTTTTGCCCTTTAATAATTAAACTTAGACTTGTAGCCAGAAAAACATGAATTCTTTAAAAACTGAAATCATATTAGATATAACTTAAAAGATATTATGATACGAAAATATATGTATTTATATCTGATCGATTTATTTATTTATTTTAATATGAGAGGCATAAGTTAAAAGACAACCCAAATAAGAGCTAAAGACCCATTATATACGCATATGTGGGTCTTACTTGTGGGCTTCCAAGATTCTTCTAATCTTACAATTGACTTATTCAATTTGGGATAATTAGAATATTTGATGAATTTAATTTGGATTATTAGAATATTTGATGAGTTTAATTTGGGATAATTGGAATCTTTGATGAATTTAGAAGCTAATATAACTTCCAATCATCTTCTATAATAAAGTAATATTTTACTGTAACAAATAACTTTTCTTTAGAGCTGATTTTCATATTATGTAAAATAGCATCTCTATAGTACACAAATAAAAAAATATAGACAAACAACGTTGTTATAAAGAAGTTTATTGGTATAAATATGTGATGCTTATTTACAGTGAAAGATCTAGAACTTTGATGTTGTCAGTTTTGATTTAAGAATATATATATATTGAATTTTGTTGAACTCGTGATTAGATGCGCTAATTATTTTGATGCAAATTATGAGCTTACATATTTAGTAATATATCAATTAGGTGCTTTCTTTTAGCTTAAACATGAAGCTATGAATTATTAGAGTATATCTTATCCATAGTTTGATTCAAAGTAGTGACATTGAACAAAAAGTAAATAAAAGAAAGAATTAGTCATGAAGAAACTAAACATATTTTTCTATAAAATATTAAAATAAAAGCAATTACTAATTCACTTTTTATACAACCAAATAACCCCTCATACACTATTAAAAAATTAGGAAACAAACGACAAATTTTAGCGACAAATCATTAATCATTTACTAAGTAATGACGAATTATCTACGAAACTATATCTTTGGCCATATAAATATAAAATAGTGACATATCAAAATGAACAAAAAGACAAAACACACATTAAAATGATCGTAATTACCTTTTTTGCTTTGTTGATGTGGACTTACATTGGCCATTTGAATTAATTCCACAAAAATATAATTGGCCATTTGATTATGATCGTTCGTTTTCATATAGATGTTAATATGTTTTATTTTGTGTGGGGTGGAAAAGCTAAAGAGTAGATAGAGTCCAAAGAAAGCAAGAAAAAACAAATGTATAAATACCAAATATTAAATGAGAAATCAAATAAAAAAGAATATTTGGTGAAATTTTAACCTCAAAATAATTGTTATGAATGGTTCAAATTATATGAATTATTACTACTAAAAATAAAAATTGATTTCCACACTGTCACACATAGGCTTGTGTGGTGGAAGAAGAGATAGGAATATCCATCCAATCACTGATTAAGATGTATAGTACGGCTACTCTATTTAATGAAACGTAGAGCTTACCTTTAAATCTTGGTTAAACAATTTATCACACAGTACCCTAAACACGAGCCTACGCTTCAACCCTCCTTGCTCCAATACACGGTGAAACATCATCGTTAATGCCTCCGTTTTCATAAATTATAGACCCAAAATACTTGAACATAAAAGATAGCACATATAAAGGTAATATTGAATGGACTTGAGATTAGTTACATTTGACAATACAAAACTACAAACAAAATATTCACAGTTTTTTTTGCGGCACAACTTGAAAAACACAAGAGCAAACAAGAGCACTCTGTTTAACAATTCTTTCTTTCCTCTTCAAAATCTATAAAACCACCATCATCATCCATTGAAGATTCACCAGAAATACCTGGTTTATCCGTTGGAACAAACATCTCTTGTATACGAATTTTCTTCATATCAAGCCATCCACCAACAGGCTTTTCAGATAATGAAGCCAAACCCTTAAATGCAAAATCATTTGCTATTGTGGTATCAACACCTATGGTTCTAGAGTAAAGTCCTCTGCTTCCAGTAACCAGCATATTTCGTGTCTCTTCACCACTACGAGAAAGCACAGGAGGCAGTAGATCAATCAGCTGTGGGCTGGGCTGGCTGGAGTTATTTATGAGCAACCGAAGAGTCTCCCTGGCACTTTTCTCAGCCATTGATTCTGTTTCTGGAGGAATTAAAGGATTCACTAAATTTGGGTATAACTGTGGAATACTGCCAGAGATAGCAGGGCCTGCGCTGACAAAGTAACCTTGGCCAGAAGAGCACACGTCAATAACAGGAATATGAACTATAGAATCACCTACTAAAGGTGTGAAAGTAGGTATTTGCTGTGAAGGCCCCAAAGAAAATGGCAACCTGATCAATGGCTCAGGCAGAAGAGGTGGGAAATCTAAAGAGGAGACATCAGTGACAAGAGATGGCTTTGGTGTCAAAATACTAGATGAACAAGCAGAAGGTGCTAGTGATGAAAGTAGTGGTATTGACGAGTCTGTGGATAAAATAGGCAAATGTGGAGTTCCAACTGAGTACTGCAGAGTAGATACAGCAGGAGGACACCAACAGTAATAAGGGGAGAAAACTGTTGAATCCAGAGAATGAACAGTAGCAGCAGAGCCTCGGAAAGGAAAGGCAGCAACAAGTGGCTCCAAAACCTTTGAAGGACGAGTTTCTCTTCCAATCTTATCGTCTTCAACATAAGTTGAACTGAGTGCATCTGTGCTACTTATGCCTGCAATCTGGCTATCTACACATGAAAGATAGCTATCACCATGCTGCCTCGGCCCGTCTCTAGAAACAAATACAGATGACGAGTTCCTGAGCATGCTATCTTTAAAAGCATTAGACATAGGACTAAGGCTGCTCATCAGGCTGGTGTTTGATCCCATGCTACTGACGTGCTCAGGCCGCAGAGGTTTCTGAGATGCAACTGATATCTGGGCATCAAGACCAAGTTCTGAAGAATCAACAAAGCCAGCAATGGAAGGATCTCTTGACATCATGGAACTTGCTTGAGGATTTATGGCTGCTGAACCATGAAGATAAGCTCGAAGATGAATGGCGAAACAGTCTATCCGCGATTCATCGATTCCAGTTAATTCAGCCAAGGAAGGCTTCATCTTAATCAAATCCCTCATCTAAGACAACCACAATCAATAATGATATTAGTCATCTACATATTCAAGTACAATATAACAAATATTCAGTAGTTCATCACACACAGTAAACATAAGAAATATACCTTTCTCCGCAACTCATCTCCAAGAAGCTTAGACTTCTCTGAACACCAAAAGTAGAAAGTCCCACCATCAGGGATACTAATAAGAAAAGAGCGTCCAGACTCGTCTGCTACAATATCTTTGATCTCTATGGCAGAACAATCAGATTCACTGCAAAATGTTCCAACTCTCTCTGTGCTGCCGTCATCCCCAATGAATGAGATGCGCAAGTCCGATGTTGGCAGAATTGCAAGGTTTAAGTTCCCCCTGTTGCAACAACACAAGAAGAAAAGAAATGTTTAAGATGAGTTAGATTGTCAATAAGTTACATACTAAATCAAATGTAACCAAATACAGCCACACTTGTGACTTGCGCATCCTAAATCTAATACCCTTGGCTGAGGAAATGATATTATGAGTTCCCAAAGATATTCTCCAAAATTACAAAAATTAAGGCAACTAAATTTATGTATTTTCCTTCTTTCCACAAGAATTTTTACTGGACAAGCTAGCCTACAAAAACAAGGACAACAACTGATGCAATTGAACAGCATTACCAACATAAATAATTATAATTTAGGTGAACCTTATGATTTTTAGAAACAAGTGCTAGTTAAGATAGACTATACATTAACATGCCAGTAAGTTCAACTCGTTAACTAGAAGTTCACTTAAGATGCATACGAGATACATATTTATTATAGAGACTAAATTACAGTTCTCACCAAAAGAAGATTTTGGTTTGGTGAGGTAAGGAGCCAGTCACTCCTCCATTCACATAAAACATTGAGTAAAAGAGACAAAAGCCAGTTGGAATCTAATATTAGAAATCTCTTTGCTTACAGGATGTCATCAAAGAATAAAAGGACAAATTAAAGCAGAATGTAGCAATGTAAAGGCACATTCTGAGCAATAAACAAGAAATGGCAGGACAGCATGAAAGATAGATATGACAAAATGAACAGTATTAAAACTTCTAGGATGGTTCAGATAAAAGACAAACAAACCACATTTATTTCATAAATAAAAAAGCATCAAAGGGTTACCAGTCAGACTTCTAGATAATTCAGAGAGAAGTAACTAAATCATGTAATATAAGAGCATGAAACTACCTTGACTTCTCCTTAATTCAGAGATCATAATAGTAAACGCCCAATTTTACCTACAAGTCAAAAGATATTTTCACGTGGAAGCATGAACATTTGTCACCATCAATAAACAAGACAGCATTTGGCAACTTCTAGCCACGATCAACTAAGGTTATGTACAGGTTAAACTGGATTGAGCTATATAGTATCAAACAAGCAGAGAAAGATATTGCAACTTCTATGGTGAATAATCAATAATCAAAAAGAGAAAAATAAGAGAATATTTTAACACTGTAATAATGCCCATACATAACACTCACTGATTGATCAGTGCAAACACACTTCTTCCAGTCTGATGGGACTTGTTGCCCTAAATACCAAATTCAAAACCTATTCTTTCATCTCCATTCATGCAAAACTGACAAAGGTACCATACGTAGCAAGATTATGAAGGAAACAATGCTGCAATGATACTATAAAACAGGGTGATAAGACAACAACACACTCACTAATACATCAAGGGGAACACACTTCTACAAGTCTAAAAGGAATTAGTATTGAGGATTACCAAATTAACAACTTATGTTCTCATCTCCATTCAGACAAAATCACAAAATATACGAACCTTTACGGTGCCTCCACATGTCAAAATGCACCTCCTAGCAATAAGCAGTCTCATATCAAGATACAGAGATTTATGATAGTATCCAGCAAGCAGTACTGATCATGAGATGATATGATGCGTCAGCAATTCATGTACTATATACTCAAAATTTGAACCCTAAACGAGTTTAGGGATCACGAAACAAGAAAATCTCCTGAGTACAACCTAATGTGAGCATATCACCTCTAGGAACAAATAATTTCACTGGATTCCAAGTGTTATACGTTCACCAGCACAAAGCATGCAGCAGTCACAAGCAACAAAGAAAAGAAAGGGTGAATGAGCAACAACACATTCCCCAGCATCTTACAACTGAACATCATCACTCAAGATGGCCATTGGAAAGAACGCCTTCCCATTTCCAGAAAATATAACTAGGTACATGCTTGAAGTACCAAATACTGCTAATGAACCCATCAACCGACTACCTAGCCTCTCTTCAGAATCCATTGGCCCATTTCCTAACTACTAATGAACGGTCATACTGCTACATCAGTACATTAACAACATCACTTCTTTCCTTTCTCTCTTTGGTTTCAAAAAGCCAATCATCTTTTGCTCTAACCCTCTTTCTGTTATGCTAAATGTAATTTCACTTTATTTGACCAATCAAAAGAGTAATACTACCATTTTGAATTCAATCTCAGTTAAAGTTATCTGCCTTGCAAACATCAAAGGAGGCAAATGACATGTTAACTTTAGAACTATATGTCTTCTATCTACAGGCAACACTAACAACATATAACACTTCAAGTTCACTGTTAATAAAAAGAGACACATTTTCAGAATGAACCAGTGGTAACTAAATTCTATCCATGAATAGGAACGTCAGTATATAAGTAACTACAACCAGAAGTTCTCATTTGCTTACTGAAAATGTAATAGTACTAGATATGAATCCACCAGGATACAATAATTGCAAAATTCTATTGTCTTCAGCATCCTGACTAGATGGGCTTGTGAGAAAGCCACTGAGCTAGAATTATTGCTAAGACCACTATGTTTGATAAATATGCTAATCTTAGCTTCGAGTAATATAGCAATCCAATCTTCCCAGAGACAAGATTACGTACATAACAATCGCAAATAAATGCATCAAGTTCCCTAAAATGCAGGGAGAAGTGAGGAATATGAAGAACACAATCTAAGTCCACCAGTCAATCAGGAAGGAACTGATTATTAGAATGCCCAAAACAACTACAAGTCACAATCAAATATGCTGGAGCCAAGCACCACACACATGGAAAACGCCATATAATGCATATGAAAGGTATAAAGTTCACTGCAACTACCTTGTAGCAGTTGGGCACAACAGCGTCCCTTGCTTCCTGATCTTCCCAACCCGCATTGAAACAAGTGGAATGCACAAACACCTCGCGAGCATTCCAACTTCCGATGGCTCAAAGTTCTGTCAATACAATCAGATTCAACTCCAATTACAAATTACACATCCAACGAACATCAAAATAAAAAATCTAAAACGAATTCATGAAATTTACAACATACTTGACTAAGATGAGCAAGCAATCGATCTTCAGCAGCACCAGCAGAAACATTTAGCTTCAACAAAGGCTTTAACCTCTCATCCACTCTACAAGCTCCCATAACCTGCAAATCCAGAGCCAGAAGCCACTGAAGAACGTTCGTTTCTCCTGATGCAAACATACCGCTCGATAAAACGTCATCGTACAAAGCATCCTCCGACGATGAGTCGTCCAATTCCTCCTGGAGATTTGAATTCTCTACCTCATCATCGATTTCGAGATTGTTCATAGATTGTTGTTTCACCATTTTTTTTAGAAAAATTCAATGAATTAAGGTTTAAATTTGTTCGTAAATCAGCAAATCGATTGAAATCTATGAATGAAAATTAAAAAATCCAACAAATTCAGAGAGATTTGAGAGAAAATCACGGGAGCCACACGACGAACAGTTACAAATAGGGAAGATAAAAGGTAATCCAGTTTATTATAAATAGGATTGATGGACGGATTTGAAATGTGGTAATGAAATGTGATTTTGGGGATTAATTTGGAATCCGGGCAATCATGGAATTTGCTTACGCCAAGCTGACTTTTAATAGGCCCAGGTTGTTTATTGTGGGACCCATGTGGGGACAAAGGCGGTGACAATGAACAACGCCACATCAGTTCCACACGACCAGATATTTATAAATTGGCGAATCAGATATTTATAAATTGGCGAATCAGATATTTATTTAGATTTTAAACCCCTCCTGCCCCCCACCGACCCCGGCTCGTTGGGACCCACTTCCTGATCGTCACTGTGCTGAGTCTGGCCCGTTCTCTGTGCACCTTTTTAGATATATATATATTATATTATATTAGATATGTGAGATTAAAATTATGTGTAATTTATTTTAAATATATTATATTTAATTGAATTCACATGTATCTGACTTTTTCACTTGTTTTTCTTCTATCTCATTCGCTTCTCTCCCTCTCTTGCTCGCCTCTTTCCCGTTGTATTTGTATATCAGACGGGTTCCATGAATCATGGGCGGATCTTAACAGATTTCTCCTATCTAAGAAAGTGGCTACTAGCTCAAGTGCTGGTAAAAACCTCGCTTTTTAACGATAGATGTATAAGAAACTCTCTCACTCACTTCTCTCCCTATGAATATGTATTTCAGAGTATATTTGGTAGCCTTTGTATTTCGTTCTAACATACTTGTCTGTTTTTCATTTACATGTTGCTTAAGAACAAAATAGGAGATGTATTGATTATTTTATTCTTTTTATGTGATATGATATAATTTTTATTATTGAATATTTTCTCTATATGTATCATAGTTAATTAAGATGCTTAGTCTTGAAGAACAATTAAAATTAAAGTAAAACGAGAAAAAAAAAATTAATCTTAAACTTTAAAAATAATAAATATTTTTAACATACGCTATTAAATATTTTGAGAGGGAGGGAGCATGACATATTAATAAACCATTCACTGAGTGCTTCTTTTATTTGTTGATTAATCTCATTATCCCTTTACTTGTTTATTCCACAACCCTATTTTTCTCTTTATTTAAGTCTACTTGACACCCTTTTACCAGTCCATATTAAGACATAACACCAACCCCCACAAGCCCCTCATATTTCTGATCGTTTACCACAATCATTTTTTTTTTATATCCGCTTTATCAATCTTCACTAGCATAATTTTTTCGAATAATACAATCCATTCAAACATTATATTACATGAAGTTACATTACAATATGAACCATGGTAAGAACCATCAAAACAAGCTTAAAAAAAAATCGGTTCACCCATAGACTACCAAATATCACGCTCTACTAAGTCAATTGATTTATAAAAAAGCTCAATCCCGTTATTTAAACTATTTTGACATACTAATAAGAAATACAATAACAATTCACTTTGTCCAAAAGTGAGATATTACCATTATGTGGAGACACATAAACAAATAATGGAGCAATGATTAATGTTCTTCAATGGAAGTTGTGCCCAATTACTACCGGGTATTCGTACTGGAGAAGGTAGCAGATATCTAGTTGAACAAGAGTCTGCAAGCTGGTTTGGACACCGCACCACCACTATCAAATGAAAACTATACTTAGTGATCCATCCTAATTCTGAAGGTATATCTTGTGCTTAAGACATAAATGGAAGAAATCTGACTTCTAAATGAGGCTTTCATCTGATAGCATTAGCAGCAGTCCTCCCTGTTAATAACCATCTAGCACACCTGACGAGTTCCTCCTTGACCATGAAAAGAATAGCAGCAGCAAGAACACTTTGTACGATTTTCGTGCCCATCCCCTTGAAAAATCCATGAAAGCCTTCATAGCGTATAATCTTCATCAGAGCATCAAGTGTACCTAAATTGCATTGAGAAACTTTACTACATGCATTTTTTCCCAAAAGTTGACATGGGAAACCTAATATGTCTGATCAAGAGTAGAGCTGTCAAAATGGGCTGGTCCAACCCAACCCAACCCAACTGAACCCTAACGGGCTAGAGAGTTAAATGGATTGGGACGGGCTGGCCCTTTTAATTAAAGGGCCGATAAAATAGCAGCTCAACCCAGCCCTAAGCGGGCCACGGGTTGGGACGGGTTGTCCCTTCAACCAAAAAAGGGACAACATTTTCCCCTTAGAAAGGATACAAACGTTGATGTCCGATGGACACGACATCAATACATACATAAATTCATTCATGAATTACACATACTTCAGTGAATATTTACAAAACAAATACATAATAGCCAAGATATAACATTCATAAGATTCATCCGAGCAAAAAACATCACATGATCATTATTTTCATAAACAAGACAATAAAGGAGAAGTGAAAAATTAGGCATAAAAACAAAAGTAAAAGAGGTCAAAGATTCATAGTTATAATGGAGTAATGAACGTGGGCTAATATGAAAATTTAGTGGGCTAATGACCCTAAAATGTAAAAGATATGTAAAAAATATAGTCTTGATTTTATATTGATATTTTAAAAATATTTATTGACTAAATCTTAACAAGTAAAACACTACTTAAAATATATATAATAAATATTTTTAAAATTCATAGCCCACGGGCTGGCTCTGAGGCTTGCGGGTTGGGCCAAATGAGGCTGGGCTAAAAAGTCTCATTCCTAAATGGGCTGAAAAAATTGAGCCCAACCCCATTTAATTCAAGGGTTGGGTTGGGCCGACCTAGCGGGCCAAGCCCATTTTGACAGCTCTAATCAAGAGTTTCAGTTAAGATAATCTAAGATAAACTAACCCAAATTCCCAAGCGATTGCGGGTTAGATTTTGGTTTTTTTTGTATAATGAATTTAGTTAACATATTGCTACAAATAGAATTACTGCATTTAGCAGTCTTTAGCATATTGCTACAAAATAGAATTCTTGTATTTAGCAGTCTCATCTCACTAATGTCTAACATGTTGTAGAAAACTCGAATATAAAAATATTCTAACCTTTAAAATGATGCCTAGTATAGTAACAGGGTAACTCAAGTCCACTGACCTTTATATTGATGTCTTTTATCTGCATCAATATCCTGCTTTGCCTGGAGTCTTGACTGCAAGATAGAAAAACACTATTATGAAGAAAAGCTCAACTGTTGGATAGTGGTCCAAACTCTGCATGGACAAAACTTTATTGGACCCGATTGCAGCCACATGTGTTTCAACTGTTCCAATCAGCAGTTGCAAAAGAAGTTAAAACTGGGAATGTGGTACTAAATATTGTATGGTGTTCTGTTGAAGTCCATACAGCTAAAAGCACTAATGAAACCATTTCAAATTATGCTGGCTGCAATTACTAATGGGACCAAATGAAGCTGAAATTGAAAAGGTTGCTCCGAACAATATTTGAAGGTAAAAGAAATATTTATCCACTCACCAACAGGCTTTAGTTCAACAGTAGGTTATCTAAATTAACCAAATGGTGAAATGGAGCTCAGAAAATCAACAGATGAAGATGAATATATGAGTCAACCTTTAGGGGGCTGATATGTGCATCAACTATTTGCAACATCAATCCAAAAGATGAGAAACTTCAATAAAAAGAGCAACAGAAATGAACTTTCTCCATACAGAACACTCATATACCTTGATAACCAGAAGAGGATATGTTACTACTGTAGCTCCAAGTTTTGCCACAGCTCCAAGTAGAAATATCTAGCAAAAATACAAAACATATGACCTCCAACAGTTGACATGTCAAAAGTTAAAAATTTTAAAATGATAAGACAAGTCTAGAGAAGAATCTAGAGGAACAGGAGAAAGGGACAAAGGTTTACCTCCAAAGCAGTGACATCATTGACACCTTTGTTGCTAGAGGCACGTCGTTTTCTAATCTTCTTCAGCAAGGTTTCATATAGCATAAATTGTATGGAAGGATTGCTTACCTGTATTTAGCAAGGAGAAGGATCAGGAACCATTATTTAGTATGTACTACTTACTAGATTAAGCTCTCACATACCATGAATAATGTTGGGAAAACACCATTCCAGAAACCTGAAATTCCATCTTCACCATAGACTTCTTGAATCTGAAAAATACAAGTGTTACCTATTAGAAAATTACAGGTATAGGCTGAATAGTTTATACCATGACTGTGAAACATGGCCAAAAAAGTTAATCACTTATCAAGGAAAAAAAGCTTGGGGAAAAATTTTATGCTTCTGGAAAAGGTTTTAGTCCAGTGGTAAGAAGCACAGCATGTGATGTGTGGGTAAGTCACACGTCATGGTTTTAAATCCTGTCGTAGACAAAAGCCTGGCATTTAAGTGGAGAAGAGTATAGGGTGGGCACATTATCCACTAAGTCACAAATCGTGCACTTAGCTCTCGAGGAATTCTCAATTGTAAAAAGAAAAGTGTATGCTTCTGTTTGATCGGCAGCCTTTACGTTGTATGTTTTATCAGAGAGGATTAGATGAGTACCATCATAGGTTCTCACAGACATTCTACAGCCAAAGAGTCATTTTCTGTTTCTGATTTTACAAAAAATTATAAAAAAAATGTGAATCTTTCAGAAACCATCACTTCTCACAATGATACTATGCTCTAATTATTTAGTTACCAAAAATAATCAAGCATCAAGTGTTAAGTGATACCATATTGCCAGTTAAAACATTGAAGAAACAAAAAAGAGTCTTTTAAAAAGATATATGTTTGATCCATGAATCAGCTTTCATCTAGAGAACAGCTACAGATAAGTGAAATGCTCAGGGTTACTCCAACAAGATTAAGTATGCAAATCTAATGGTCCAAAACCCAAGGTATGCAAATTAAGTTTGAATGCATCATACATCACATCTTTTAATAGGAAAAATTCAGTACATACTGTGTGGCTTGTCCCATAGGGAGGAGGTTCAACCACAACAGAGATTTCATCATGTGATACTTCAAGTTTTGGGTGGTTATCTTTATCCTTTCTTGAATGAGTCTGCACAATAGTTGTGAGAAATACAGGTAAGAAAATCAAGTTTACAAAACATATTAGGGAGAAAATTTTCATGAAGAAACAAGAGTGTATAAACTAGTTAAAGAATTTAAGCGAAGCATTTTAACATCTAACCAAGGCAATGAGTAATACATTCAAAGCATTTTCACATCAAAGTAATACGTTGAAACAAAATACTACACCACCCATAACTCAGATGCTTCTTCTACTTATTTGATCAATACACGACAGCTTCCGAACTGACATTGTTCCATCTTTTGAAGCAGCAAATGCAGAGGAAAATGTCAGTAACTGAATTCGAAAGAGCACTTCACTTCCGCTCACAATACTCAACAGCACAATCAATCATGGTCCAATGACGTCCATTACAAATGATAGATATCCAACCTCGACAATTGTATAACAGATATGACAACAGTACTATAATTGCAACACTAACAGGGAACAAGCAACAAAGTTCCCCAGTTTGGTCTAAGTATACAATTTGAAAAGCAAGGTTGTCATGGTAATTGATATCTTGTTATGTTTAATAGACAAATGACTTACAGTATTAAGGTTGAAACTGCAGTTCTCCAGCAACAACAACAATGTCACAATCTCAAACTAATTGGAGTCATCTATAAATCTTCTATATCCATTCTACTCAATCTGAGCCAATACTCGATTTGTATGTATTTATTTTGCATCTGATTCTTCTAATTCTCAAAGATGTCCATCTGATGTTTGTTTCCCAAAACAAAGACATATATCCGGGTAGCTTATAGGACGACTTTGGTTTGTTTATACATTCATAACCAGTACTGTACTTGCAACAGTTCCACAATGTAACATAAAATTTTGACCTCAATTTCACATACCTATTTGATATAGCATGAAGAAACCTCATTAATGCTGCACAATCAACCATGACGCTTTGATCTCCTCAAAGAGAAGCATCTTTATGTAGCAACTAACAAAAGATTTTTTATGCAACTCCTGCATCTTTGCACATCCTCCACTCTTTTTCAGTCCACGATTACCAGCCAGACTAGTGTAAGGTTTGCTAATTCATAGGCAACCTGTTTAATATTTCAATGACATTTATTTGATGTCGAATTAATGAGTCATAGCAGAAATTCATCGCAAAGATCAGCATATTCTGCATATTCCTGCGGAAAACCAAACTTCTAATTACCCTTCTGGATATTGATTTGATAGATAGTAGGCGACATTGTTCTCATTCTTGACCGATAAATGGCACCACATCTTGCAATCCTCTATTTCTGGTGACTTCAGTTAATTATCTTAAAGTGAATCCCCTTCTTCTGCTCACAAAAACAACAACACCTTTGTTCTTCTTCTTCCTTTGCTTCAATATGTCGCTCAACATAATCCCGTCAAAAAAAGGTTTTAAGTAGAGCTCATTTATCTAAACCCACGAGCCTTCATCTTAAGCAGTTAAAAACTTATATCAACTCCAGAAGAAATATATTATAGCTCTATATTCGTATTGCACTTGCAACAATTCCCCACGAGATGAGTTAAAGCAAAAAGCTCATAGAAGAGAGTGTTGAAACTGGTAGGAAAATATCTTAAAAGAAAAAGGCATCATAGACTAAACTACATCAATAAACTTGGTGCTGTGCTAAGTTCACCAAGACATTAAGTAAATACACCAAATTCATAACCTTTCTCATAGGAGGGTAAAGGAGAACCCCAGAGTATTTACCTGCATGCGTGTAACAACTACCCATATGGGATTGGTCAGCAGTACATTAACACACCTGTAACAAAGAAAAAATCAAAACATTCATGATTAACAAAAAAAGTACAATATTTCAAAAGGAATTTTAACCAAACAAATTTATTCATCAGCGCTTTACAAGTTTTGGCTAGACAAAATAAGAATATCAATATTAAGAACAGAAGACCACCAACTGAAATTTTGAATCAAAAAGAGTACTATGCCATAAAGACAGGAATCCAAGTTTTTTTTACAAGGTATAATCTGACAAGAATCAAGTTTATTGTGGCAGAATACCGTTGATACATGCATTGTCAATACAACAAATTACCAAGCTACCAAAAGGAAACATGAAAACTTAATGTCCAACAGAAAAGAAAATTACCCAGATAAAGCAGCCACCAGAAGTGATGAGAACATCCCGACTGATCCATCACCAATTCCATTCTTCTTACGTACAAGTGCATCTGTTTCTGCTCTATTCCTCAATATTTGGTAGAAATAATAATAAACACCCTGTATCAAGAAAAGTACAGATACATAAGAGATCAGAAATTTCACTACGAAACAACAAAGAAAAGCCATTTAAAGAAAAGTTGACATTCACAGAAGATGAAAGTTAGTGAAGTATTTGTCAATTGATTATTCATTTTTCATCTACACATTTGTCAATGGAATATAAGAAACTACTAAAGTAAACATACTCACTTATGCAACGGTGCACTTGGACCAACACATATGGGTTCCCCATATTATACAAATGAAATCTTGATAGATAGACCAGACTTGCATCAATAGACTGTAACTGAACAGAACATTGGATGGGGCAGGGGTCAATTTAAAAGATCATCAATGATATACCGAAAACTTAATTGAGGTTTGAGCCACCCAACAGGGCAAAAGAGTTAACAACTACCAACCACACACATAATAGTTTGATAAACTGAGTACCATGTTTCCCTGAACTATTAGCCAAGGAATTCTTTTCCAAAACACAGTGCGTTATCATCATAACACTTGGTCAGCAAGGCAAACTAAAGAAGACGCAATTCTCGTTAGTACAAGGTAAAGCATCTTCAGCCCAGTTCATGATCAATGCTCAACTAGACAAACACTAGGTGGTCTATCTTATTTTACATGAGGCCAATAAATCAGAAATATAAGAACAAAATTTATCCTCTTCCCGTTCAGAAATTAAAGTCTATTAGGTCAGTTTCAAGTTTCCACAACAATTTTTACTAGTTCCTGTGGCATAAGAAGGTGAGTTTTTGACACGTTTGGTCCATTTACTGTCACCCTAAATATAAGTTGATCCCTTTGTATAATCTGTTAAAAATCCTTAAATATAAGTTAATCCCTTTGTATAATCTGTTAAAACATTTCAAATTCTTTTTAGTATGAACAAATCCAACACACCCATCAAAAACAAAATGCATGACCACATCTAACACCTTCTCCACCCAAAAGAGCTGTCAAAGCAAGATGAATCTCCCACTTGCTGGCTGCTTGACCAGCCAACACATTAATAGGGAAAAAGTAATCATGCATTATTAACTCGTTTTCCCCAGACTAAAACCCTCAAGAGTTGTTCAATGCAAGGAGAACGTACACAGAGCTACCACTGTAATACTCTTCATGTGAAGCCATCAAGAGACGAATTTGACACAATACTACTGGCACATGAGGAAGAGGGAGGGGAGCTTCAACAGAATAAAGAAAATAAGACAGTTACAATACAAATTCATGGAGAGACTTGGCGGGGATAACAGATTGAAAGGCAAATTTTATTTTTATTTTTCGATCTAGTGGCATATTTTGATTAGATTATCAAAAATGGCCAAGTGGCAGTTCGTGTATCTGAAGAGCAAAAGCTGATCTGAAGATGGTAGGTGATGTTGTCAAATATATAGTTATGGAAGAAAAGTTGGCAAAGTTTGAGGAAAGTATAAGGCAGTGAAAGACCAAATAGCACAAACAGAAAGCTAGCAGGAAGTTGAATTGCTTGTTTGTTGTATGTGCTGAAATTGCATATGTAGATTATGGATTTAAAATGGCAACACAAAGCATGAGTTAATGCAATTGATGAACACTTAGGGGTCATTTGGTTTGAATACAAGTTATGCTGGGATTAGAAGGGTGACAGAGGGGAGCAGTAGGGATGAAATCACTTTGATAGAAGCATGTTGGATGACAGAACTTTGACTTATCAAGTCATCAACGGAAACTGAAAGAGAGGGATTCGAACCCTCGGTAAGACTAACTCGTACAACGGATTAGTAGTATGCCGCTTTAATCCACTCAGCCATCTCTCCCAATTGAAAAGCATAATTAAGATGTCTCTCACAATGGGTAGAATTACTGCATTTCGGATTCACCATCGCTTGTACTGATCGACAGTATTCCTGCCATACCAGAATCCCATTATTATGGTATATCAGTTTATCAAGATGTCAATCTGAGATCTTATTCCAGTTCAATACTTGACGGCGACGATGAGTTTTTCCAGCTTGAGTTCTCTCTGCAAAGCTCAAGGATATTCATACTTCAAATCTCTATAATCAGATTTATTTAACTCCTCATGGAAATGAACTGCCTATTTATCATATAAACTCAGTTTGCATAGAAGCTTCACTGCCCACTGCTGCATCATCTGTTTGGCTATGTTGCCGGACAAGCTTCATGTAACTTGCAACTGTTACTATCAAAATACATATCCAAACCTCAAAATAGACCCCGGTTACTTTATTTGCAGGAACGCATTTTGCATTTAGTACTCTTGCAGCTCCAATATTACTACCTACTATCTTACCTATTTAAGAGTTAACCCATTTGTATTCCGAAAAGCTATCTCCTTGTCAGTGCCAGTCTGCTCAGTCATGCTTCTAAAATCAGATAACTTTGTTACAATCCACTTTGTAGAGTAACCTACTGTCTACCTACATACTCCCTAACTGGCTATGAAAAATAATTTTGAGAAGTTGTGCCAGTCTGCTCAGTCGACTTCTCTTTCTTCTTGCCAACTTCTTCATTAGGTACTTTTGTTTTTTACTTCAATACCTTCAGACAATGGTGCAGATTTTCACAATAAGTGAAAAAGGGAGGGATAGATAAAAGTTTGGTGCCAAATAAAGCATTGATTTTTTCGCTACTCATTGTAGAAACAAAAAGATTCTCTCCTAATTGAGTTGTCCTGATTTGTTTCATTCCCTAACAGGCCAGACACGTAATCCACATGGTAAGTCCAATCACCTCTGGCAGTTGTTAATGGAGACCAAAAATGTTGAATTTGATCATTTTTAAAGGATTACAAAGTTAAGAGTATCTACCTCAACTATTCCCGAGGAATGTTATAAGGTGTTATACTAAGGACAAACTCAAGTTTTGGAAGCTATTACTAGATATTCTCCAGCTAAAAGCCAGAATATAGCTATTACGGGGGATGTATGAAAGGGTGTATAAATTACCAAAATCACATTTTTATCATGTACAATTCTATTTGAACTATTCCACCTATAGAACTCTTAATGATGATTGTATTTAGAAATTTTGAGAAGGGGTGATGAAATACTAAGGACCTCTATGTCAGGAACTCATAAGCAGGACAAGGACAAATAACTAGGTGAAGGACTGTGGATAACCCATCACATTAAGAATGCATGATTGGCACACATTTCCAGAGTCATGGGACCACATGTCCCCAGATTTAGTTTCCCAACACTTGAACACAAGGCCGCCTACTGCGAATATGTTACCTACTTTACGACTCAAAATACAAATCAGTGCAAGTATTTCACGGATTAATTCAAGTATTTTCTCAGTAATGTGCTGTTTGATGTGACCAAATTCCGCATCCAACTTAGTTACAGGAACTTCACCAAAATTCAATAATCATTCTACACTCCTCCATTTATTTTTCTCTCTTTAATTTCATAATTAGTACTCACATCACTCAAACTTTTAAAGTCTAAATATATTCCTTAGTAATCTCTATTTTCCCAATTTTTCGAAAGACAAAGCAGATAAAATTGCTAACACAACATTTGGAGCCGCAGTAAACGTCAATCTCAATCCCCAACTAGGTTGGATTAAGCAAGCTCACAATGCACATTAGCATAGTTGATGTTCTCAGTAAAGGTGATATTCATAGTTGATGATCAAGCAAAGCACACGCAACAACAAACCGAATATTCTAAACAAATATACTTTTTACAGGATGACTACGCACGCGGCGCACATTAGCATAAAGCAAAAAATCAAAATCAAACTTCACCTGCGATGCAGCGGTACCAACTAGCGACGGAGCTAAACCACCATATAGCCTATCCCACCCTTCCTGCTTTACAACCTGCAGATCAACCAAAACACAAAAAAATAATAATGAGAAATTGGAAGTAAATAAAGTTAATTTTGACATAAACGGAGCCAAAAACAAAAACAAAAACCTGGCACATTTGTTCAATAGTTCCAAGCGTTTTCTTCATCTTCTTCGAATTTCTATCTGTTCGCTGCCGAGTATTTACCTGACATCACAGAAGTCAAACATAGAAAAAAAAAATTGTACTAGTAATTAATGTCTAAAATAGTGAAGAATAACATAATACTGTGTCAAGAGGATAGGTGATGAGTTGAGCAATGATGCCGGCTCCGGCACCGGCGATGCCACAGATCAAAGCATCCGACATAGCTTCCGTCAAAAAAATAATTGGGGGAGACGAAAAGGAAAAAAAAAAGTGAAAATAATATGTATGAAGAAATTGACTTATGTATGAATTTGGAAGTAGCGGAAAATGGTAGAAATTGGAAATTGCATTATGAAAAAATAATAACACGCGAGCGGAATGGAGACTGATAAATCGCTCGCTATCAGTGTATTGAGTTTCGTTTTTTTCAATTTGTTCTTCCGTTTAAAAGAGTGTCACGTGCTAGTTTTAAACATTTCATCATGATACATAAATGAATTTGGAAGTCGATATGGTTGTTTATTTATGGATAATATAATATAATAATTGTAGTCGAAAATGGTATGATTAAATTTGTTAAAGTGATTTAAGATATACTAGTTTGACTCATCTTGAAAATGAAATAAATCATAGAAATAGTAATATATAATGAATAGGAGTAATTGAGTTGTTTTAGATCATGAGAATTGAGGCTAGGTATAATGCATCCGAAATAAAGTGTTTTTGTTTTAAATATGTGTGCTTGAACAAGTGCTATGGAGCATCAGATTTGTATAAAAACCACAGGCAACATCTGATTATATAAAATCTCATGCATCTGATTTATAGAAATCGGGCATCTATGTCTATGAAAATTGAGTTTGCATATGTATGTGTTCTTTGTGTTTGTATATCTGTATAGAATTAGAATTTGTATACAATTTAATCGAGTTAAAACAGTTGTATTTGTATATCAAATCTCTCTCGCTTTATACAAACACAAAATTATACATTGTATTTTGTATAATTTGTGTTTGTATAAAGCGAGAAAGATAAAATAGAACTGGGCAAGGAAATATTTGTATTATATAATTATAAGTGTATTGGATGAAGAGATATATATTTGTATTTGTATATACATTTTTCTCTCGTTTTATACACACACAAACACAATTTATACATCTGTGTTTGTATAAAGTAAGAGAGGCGAGAAAGAGTAACGAGCGAGATTTTTGGGGAAAGAGGCGAATGACAAAGTGTTTGCTACGAATTAGAATTAAATGAAACTATAGTTATAACATTTATTGAATTTACCGAATTCTAACTCATGCACAAGTGATAGGCGGCCCAATCTATTTGGGCCATTCCTTTCAATTCTACCACATTTGGGCCTATTATGGTGTATAAGGCTTTGGAGGTAAAAATGAAAAAAGAAGAATTTCTCGATTAGTCAAATTTTAACACCTTTTGAAGTTCTGGGGAAATTAAAAGTAGGGAGCTGATCCACCAATTGGGACCTATAGCATATAGCTTTCGATAAGAAAATTAAGTGGCAGATCCGTTAGGAGAAAATGGTATTAGAATGGAGTAGTATAACTTATCGCAGTGATGCGTATTAAGTTTTATTAATATATTATTCTATATATATATATATAAAATTATATAAAAAGTAGGCACTTGGCCATATAATTTGATGTTTTCATTAAAATAGTGTTTGTTTATAATATTTGAATAATTTTTTGATTTCGAATCCTAATAAAACGTAGGATCTCAATTTTAAATTTGTGATTTCTATTTTTCTTTTCTTTTTTTTAAATAAATAAATTAAATATGACTCATAAATTTATATTTTACAAAATAAACTCGTAATTTTAAAAAGGGAAAAAAACACTTATATCCCCCAAAAAAAACTATTTACAAGTGGCTACCTTTTATTTATATATCCCTGTTTTTAACTACTAATTTGCATACTTCAAAGAGGAAGAAGCAATTTTTCAATGAAAATGCTATACAATTACTCTTTGATACCATTAGAGTGTGTATATATATATATATATACTCTCTGATGACATCAAGGAGGAAGAGGCATTGCTGTAGTGAAAAGTTGTTAAATTACTGTTTGATACTATTAGAGTATATAGATATCATCATGTAACATCTTGCGGTTAGAAATAACGAGGAAGAAGCAAATAATTGGAAAATGCCATTTTTGGAAAGAATGAAAATCTGGAAATTTGTTCAAGTTAGGAAAAATTGAGTTTTGGTCAACTTCAAACGGCCATAACTGCTAGTTGAGGATGATTTAGGTGTACTTCCAGATATGGTTGGAAAGCTCTTGGAATGATCTTTCCAACGCCGCTGAGTTTGCGCGATTCTGAGTTTGTATGAGTAAGTTATGCTCTTTGGAAGTTGGGCTGTTCGAATAAGGAAAATCTAGAAACCGGATTTTGGAAGGGTAATTTAGTCTTTTCCTTACCTAATTATTCGAATTCATTTTTAGGAGTTAATTGGGGTAAAATCAGATTTTAGTCAAGTTTAGAAAAAGTTGAATTCACACTAGGGCATGGAGAAAAGAGAAAAAAGGAGAAAAGAGAAGGAAGTTAAAGATCGTCGATATTTGGCTTGTGGATTTCGTTAGGGGTGATCCCTACAAGGTATGTGAGATCACATAGCGTTGGATTAGTTCACCCACGCACCAATCATGATTCAATTCTACGAAATATGTGTGATTTGAAAGTAAATCCTTTGAGTTCTTGATGAAATTCGTTTGAATTCTTGTGGGTTGTTTTGTTGAAGTTTCTTGCGATTTGATTCATGTTTCCGGGTGTAATTTCAGTTTGAATCTATCATATATTGAGGGTATAAATGATCCTAAGTGTTTGGGGAAAGAACCATTGAAGTTTAGAGGGTTTAGAGTTGAAAAACGGAGAAGAGAAGTCGTCAAACACCTGGGGAAAGGGGTGGGGCATCGTGCCAGCCAGGGAGCCCCAAAGCAGTCCCTAAATGTGGGGCTCTGGGGCGACACGCCAACCAGAGCGCCCCAACTTGTTCTTTGAATATTGAGGGTTGGCGCCCCGCGCCTCTCAGAGCGCCAGGAACGCCAATTCTTCCCATTCATTCCCCATCTTTTTGTACTTGTTCCTTAGTAATGTACCTATGTTTTCTAGTTGATTCCAACACTCTAAGGTACATCTAAACATCATGAAATCATCCATAAACATGAGATCATTAACCTTGAATCCATAATCCAATTCAAGGAAAGTTAGGATTAAAGTCAAGAGAAGTTAAGAGTCAAGTCTAGAAGTTAAGAAGCAAGTCAAGCAAAGTTTTTAAAGTTTTCAAAAGGCTTTAACAAACGTTTTAACCTTGTTTTAAGACTCAAGTTTCAAGCTAAGCGAAAAGTAAAAAATTGAGTTCATTTCTCAAAAAGCTATAAGGGAACTAAGTATTCCCAAAGATTTATAAATGTTTTCATATTTGAGCAAGAAAAGGGAACATCGATTCCAAGAGAGCTTTTAACCTAAGTTTTGAGTAATTATCTCAAACAAAAGAAAGAAGTTTTGATTCTAAATCATATGAGCTAAGTGTATTTTTGGGAGTAGTATTGAGCACCGATATGAAGATGAGAGTTCATATTAACTCAAGTCTCCATAAATCATGTAGTCATCATGGGTATTAATGGGGCATACTTTTTAGATGATCACATAAGTTAAGCTAGTGGATCCACTAAGTTAAGTAGTTCTATATGACAACAAAGTATATGACAGTTCTGACAGCGTGGAAAATACGTTGTATCACCATTTAGGCTCATAGTGATGGTTGTCGGTTAGAGAATCTCCCACAGAAACTATAATATGTTATTATATAGTAAAATTGAGTTTGTTATTGCATTTTCTTTAACGAACTAAGTTGCTTTTACTGTTTTATAAAGCTTTTCATATATTGCATGTGTTTCATTGCTTTATTTTGAGTTACGTATTCATGAGTTGAGAAGAGCCAAGATAAATGTTTCTTTCAGAATCTTTTCAAGTCTATTCATTGTTTAGATTTCCAACTCGCATACTCGTACATTCAATGTACTGATGTCAGTTGGCCTACATCGTTTTATGATGCAGACACAGGTAACCAGGATCAGCATCCAGCGCCTCGTTGATCTGGTTCAGCACTCTGAGTCAGTTGGTGAGCCTCCTTGCATTTTCAGAGGACTCTTTTATTATTTGCTTTCTAGTTTTCAGTTATTAGGATGATCGGGGTTCTTTTCCCGACATCCCTCTTTGTTTTAGAGGCTTCATAGACTGATAGTATTTGTTCTTTAGTCTTATTCATTTCAGTTGTATACGTTTAAGACTTGAGTTGCCATTTTTGGCTAAGTTATTATATTTTAAGGTATTGCATGAGCTATATCTGTTGTGTTTATCCGCTGAGTAAGTAAGTCAGGCCAAGAGTTCGCTTGGGGCAAGCAATGATTCTCGAGTGCCGGTCACGTCCAGGGTGCATGTAGGCTCGGGGCGTGACACATCAGAGTATATAAATACCATAATTAGTATGTGTGTGTATAAATATATTCCGGTGATATTTGGTTCAATGAATAGAATAAGGGGGACAGTCAAATAAATAGTTTGGGTTTGGGTTCAATCAGGATAAATATATTGGGTTGAGTCCAATTCTAATAAATTCTTTGCCTAATGGGTATGTTAAAGAATGACAAAAAAAAAAAGGTTCCGCATTGGTGGTTAATGAGATGAGTGGACTCCTTATAAGACTTGAGCAATCCTCCTCCTTTAGAACTAGCTTTTGGATGTGAGTTAGGCCTAAGACCTAATTTAACAACAATTTGTGTAGTTTTCCCTTTTTAAAACTACTAAATTATTTGAGACCACGAAATTATTTCTAATTTTTCTCATGACATGTTTAAATTACAAGATGAATATGTCGTCCATATCATTTGTTTGATACTAAATGTAGTTTTTTTCTTAGGAAAAAGATATTTTGGTATGTTTATTTATTTTTAATTTAAGATCTCATAATTTTTATTTACCTTTTTTCTTTTATTTCGCTATGTATCAAAGCAAAATCAGTCAAATAAATTGAAACAAACGAAATATATATTGTGCAGCCATCGATATTGAAGTGACTAGTGGCATTTTTCTTGCCGCCTATATGGAATACATGACACTTGCTATCTATATGTGGCAAGTGACTAATCTTCCAAGACAAAACAGAGCTTGACACTTGTTATGCATATAGAAGGTAAATAAGTTTGTTGTATTTTATTTTATTTTTGGGTCAGAACTTTGCTGTATTCAAAACAAATTCATTTTAATTGTATTGGAAGTCATATAATAAGTTGAAAGAAATTCACAAGATGAATGAATCCAAATGATTCATTGTATACATTAAATAAAAGTCTATA